ACCAGGTGGTGAAGAGCTTGAGGAACTGAGCGAGAGCGCAGGAGAGGAAGGCAGAGAGGAGGGGGAGATTGGAGGGAAGAATGGACGGCTGTGATGATGTAGATCCATTTGATGAGGCATCAGCGGCAGTGATTACCTCGTCCATGGAAGCGCCGATTATCTCTGGGTCAGGAAGGGATAGAACTCGAAGACGACAAGCTAGCCGCAAAAATAAAAAGCAAAATGAAACCGCGTGGTTGCAGCCTGGTTGCGTCCCCAAAGCTGGAACCGGATTCGGATTCTGGTTCCGTTAAAAAAAAAAAAAATTTAAATCCGACTCTATAAGGACTGTTTGTCATTCTATTTGAAATTTTTTATCATTTTTAAAAATATTTCTTAAGAATATTTTTTGAAAATAATTTTCTTTAAAACTTAAAAACTTGATTGGTTTACGATTTAAAATTTTTAAATCTTACGACTTAAACTAGACAAAGAGATCTAAAAATAAAGGGTAGCATGAGAGAGAGAAAGAGGAGGGAAGAAAATACGAGATGATTGAAGGAAAGAGAAAGAAGAGAGGATCGGACGAGATAGAGAGGAAGATGAGTGAGAGAAAGAACCGAGATAATGAAGAGAATGGATTGGAGGAAAGACGAAAAAGATAAAAAAAAAATAAAAAATAAAAAAGAGGAGAAGAATAAAAGAGAAAGACATAGATTTGGAGTGAGAAGGGAGGAGAGAGAGAAAAGAAAATAGTGAGTTTAAGTTTAAAAACTCTAAAAACTTATTTTTTATGTTTTTGGATAATAAACTATATTTTTGAGTTAATTTTGAGTTCAGTTTTTTAAAACAATCCTACCAAACAAATTTTTAAGGCTTAAAACTTGAAAATTATTTTTGAGTTTAAAAAGTTGAATTCAAGTAGAGTACCAAACAGACCCTTAGAGGGCCGTGTGAATTGGCTCGAAACCTTATGTTGACGTATTTCAAACAGCAAATGACATGCCCTTCTCAATAACAATAACATAGAATGATACTTTGCAGAACTCAAACAGACTAGGGCTCATCTGGACTACTTTTAAAATGATTAAAACCGTTTTTTGTGAAAATATTTTAATATCAATCTTTAGTAAAAATTCAAGTGGATCCTCAAAAACATTTGGAGTGCTTCCTATAAGAATCATACATCTGGTGCTTCTTCCAACAAACAATTGAAGTGCTTTTTGAACTCAAAATTCATTTCACCAAAAACACTTTCAAATATTACTATGCTTCCTCTTTTGTAGTTAAGTTCAAATCATCTATCGCTATGTCCAAAAACAAAACATTAAAAAAATGTGAGATCATATTAAAAAAAAGAAAATTGGAACTTTGTCTTCTTGAACTAAAATATCATGAGTACTCTTGAACTTGTCAAATATAGAACAATGGCCATCTAGATAACTTGTTAGGACTTACATAACTTATTTGCTCCTTTAATTCTTTATTTTTTATGAAAGTTCTAACTGTATTATCTAAAGAGGTTATTGCTCCACATTACGACAAGCTCAAAAAATTCATCAAAATTAATTAGGTATAAAATCTCTTATTGTTGGTTACATGTTCAATTTACTAAACTTCAGCGTTGGATACCAATATATATGTGTTTAGGTACAAGCTTTAGAAACAAGGATAATGCAGCCATCTAGTGAAACTGGCATGAAGACCCCATGTTTTTATGGTCACCGCCCACACCCATGTGAGCAAGACATGGACAATGGATAAGGTGATTGTCCTTGGATATTATGGGGCATGTCCCTTAATTTTAAGGACGACGACTGCTACTAGTCTACTACCACCACTTTTTGCTTTGCATAGTACTTTGGGCCCTGTGCGTCCTTGAATGTCCTGGTGCATTTACTATAACTTTAAGGACGACGACTTAGACTACTATTTATTTATTTTAATTAACTGTTATTAAGAGAAAAAGATGGGAGTTCGAACTATTACAAAAAATAAAAGAGAGGGTTTAGAATTCATAATGCATAGATAAAAATTTAACATTCTATTCATTAAGATATTGAACTACATGCACTACTAATACTTCTTTAGTTGGGGAGTTGCAGGCAAAACAACTCGTGCATGTGAACACATTGTGATTTGGTTTTCTCTCGAGTACAACACACTATCATTTTGGTTTTCTCTAGAGTTTTAGCGAGTTGTCATGAAATTAGTTTTTATTTTTATTTGTTATTCAACGACATGGTTACACCAAGTGTAGATGCATAATTTGGGAAAACCATATAATAAGCTAACTATAACAATTTAATATCAAATGCGTCATCTATGAAGTTGAGCCTTGAGCTCCTACTTATGTACAAATGAAAATGAATACCGTAATACTAAATGACTAACTTAGACATCAAGAAATTGATAAAATAAAATTTAAAAAAAAAAACTACAAGCATGATGATGAGGAATGAGGATCCTATCTGAATCCTCTTTATGAGGACTCTAAAGATTCTCCAATCACGTCCGTTTATTATAGATCGTACGACTTGTTTTTGTTAGATGTTATTTATATTCAATTTAAAAAAAATTACAATAATATATAATCACATGATATACAATAAAATAGATATAATTAAAAGATTCCTATAATTAAAGAATCCTCACAAAGAGATTTCCGAACGCTCTTTCGACCATGAGGGTAGTTAGGCTCCTAAATACTTGAAAGGTACAGTACATCATCATGGTAGGTTTGAAGTTATAAGTCCACCTCATCCAAAACACAGCATATAGAATGATTCCCTCATGGATCCCGAATCCTAAATTTTTATTTCAATTAAAATTTGTGTGCTTGCTTTGTGGAATGCGGACCGTCTTCTTGTAAATTTCGTAGGAAGACTCGGCTCCAATTTTTTAAGATTAAAATCCGCTGCCATGGTCAATTCACTGTCGTCTAATTATCAACAGGCAGCCTTCCAACCCACGTGTTTGTTTGCACGCATTAGAATATTCACTGTCTCTCGTTAGTGGGTCCCTCCAAGTGGGATTGGTTTGTATTTTTATATTTCTTTTTTGGAGGCTCAGTATGGTCAAATTAAGGTTTTTATTTTAATTTTTTTAACAATAAAAAGGTTTTTTATTTTTTTATTTTTATTAAAAAAGGTATTTGGAATTGACTCCCTCCATTAATCTCAAAATTGATCAATACTTTACTATCAAACATCAATTTGGTCATATCATTAAACTTCTACCAATACTTAATTACTCAAATGATAAGTAAGAATTTCTGCTCAAAATTATTATAATTAGAACATTTTATATTATAAATCACTATATAAATATCGTTTATGCTAGAAACAATTAAAATCATAGTTGTTGAGTTATTGAATTGTGTAAAAATAGATGAATGGAATTAATGAAAGAATTATGAACTGTCTATGTATTTGATACAATAGATTGACTGAACGACTTTAGTTTTAATTTTTTTGGCAAATATGATATTTACAAAATGATTCATAATATGAACGGTTCTGATCATAAGCACAAAACTCTGTAATTTAAACACTAAAATTTGTTAGCATGAATCTCTACTCATCCTTAAGTAGCCAGACATTATCCCCCCATTTTGTTAGTGTGTTAATGCGGCACAAATGTTGAATAATTTTCTTTCAATTACAACGAAAGTTGTTGAGTTATTCAAATAGGAAGAGGATCCTCTCCGAATTTACTTTGTAGGGTTCCTAAAGATCCTCACATCTTAGTTGTTTATCGTACATCGTACGGTTATTTTTTTTAAGTATTATTTATGTTTAATTTTAAATAAAAATAATAATTTATAATCGTATGATACATGATAAAAGGCTAAAATGTGAGGATGTCAAGAACCCCCACAAGTTGGATTGGATCCGGATAGAATCCAAATACATTCAAATAATCATCTTTTAGAATATTCACTCTTTCTGAGTGGTGGGGTCCTTTAAGTGGGATTAGATTAGATTTTTTAATTTTTTAATCCGTTTTCCTGATTTCTGGGGCCAATAAAGAATTAAATAATGATTCACAATATGCAGAATTCTCTTACGGGAAGCTTCGGAGATGAAGTGAGAATTTTGGGTTTTATGGATTATGATGTTGAGATGTTGTCCTTGCGGTTGGGAAATTTCCTACGGTGGACGGTTGCGTTTGTGATAAAACAAAAGGTGGGTTACTTTACAAGGAAGGAAAAAAATTGCATGCAAATTAAGCTAAATACTATACCCTTTTCGTAATAGTTTGTTACGTTATGATTATTATTATTTTTTTTTTAATTTTAGTTGTGTTAGTTATTGTTGTTTTTTGGAAAATATATTTTGAAAAATAATGAACTTACTAACCAGCTTATGTGGGTTTTTTTCCCTCAATTATTATCCTTAAAATACAAATACATACCCCACGGTACACCCTCAGCCACGAACACCCCTTCTTCTCCCCACACCTATAAATCCACCCCCTCATCTCCTCCCCACACCCCCACTCACTTCAGTTCGAAACAGGCGATCCTCGCCTTTCTGGGTTGTTTCCTATTTTATCTGAGGGAGAAGAAAGGAAGGTGTTTGATCAATTTTTTGGTATATTTTTAGGGGTAAGACCCAGGTTCGACGAGTTGTAGACATCACGGCTATACACGGAGCTCCTCGGCCGCTCATTCATGTCCGGGCTGTCCGACGAAAGGGTTGTGTAATTGAGAGCAACCCTTCGCCGCACGGCGGGCGTGGCGCTTTGCCTTCCGAAGGCGGTAGCCCCTCCGACCTGCTCTTCCTCGCTGGTGGCGGTTCTGCATCCTCTGTTTTTCTCTTCTGCTTATATTAGCTTTTTTAGACTTTCTTGGTTAGATTCTTAGGAGATTTTAGAGATTTTTTTTCTTCTATAAAGCGCACGAGTAGATCGTATTGTTGTTTTCGGGGGGTTTTGGGTTTGGTGGTGTTTGATTTTACTGAGAATTAAGAAAAAATAAAAGGAAAAAAAAGAGAGAGAGAAAGAAGGGGAGGGAGCATGATGTTGAGGATCAAGAGGGTTCCCACCGTCGTTTCGAATTACCAGAAAGATGAGGCGGAGGAGGGTGCTCGCCGCGTCGAGGGTTGTGGCCGCAATTGCCTTAACCAATGTTGCATTCCAGGTATTTGTTGAAATGCCCTCCGCTTTGAACTTGAATTTCTGTGCTTTATTTGTTATGCACTTGAATAGGTGTTTTGTAAAACAAGCCTACCTATGTGATAAGTTGTCAAGATTCTTGCTTTTTTTTTTCTTTTATGGAATCAATCAGAGATAAGGACATTGTACGGTCCGTTGTTTATTTTATTTTATGGGATTTGAAGAAAATGATTTTATGTTGGGTTCTCATGGTTTTTCGCTTGGTATAGGCTCTAGTTATGACTGGGTTTTGTACCAATTTCGGTTTGTGTAGGGGCAAAACTTCCATTGTATGCCTTCAAGAAGCGGAACGTGAATAATGGTGACACGGGTGTGCCCGGACATGACAAAAGAGAGCCTCCCGTTGCGTTTCTTGACTCGCTGCTTCTCGGGGAGGTAAATTGATTTACAGGAGATGAAGAAAGATCACCAGATTTGTTTATTACCTCTTGTGTTTAGCAATTATTTTGGAGTAAAATTGCTTACCACTTAATGGTACAGTGGGAGGATCGCATGCAGAGAGGGCTATTTCGCTATGATGTCACTGCTTGTGAAACCAAGGTGGATTCACTTACTTTTCCTCAATTTTGTAGTGTTTGTTAACGGGAATTGAAATTCGAGCTGAGGAACAATGTGTATGGACTATATACTTATGTGGCATATGGGGACCAATTTCTTTGATAATTTGGTGTAGGTGATCCCAGGGCAATATGGTTTCATTGCCCAGCTGAATGAGGGTCGCCATCTTAAGAAGAGACCAACTGAGTTTCGAGTTGATAAGGTCCTCCAGCCCTTTGATAGCAGCAAGTTTAACTTCACTAAAGTTGGACAAGAGGAGGTTCTATTCCGGTTTGAAGCCAGTGAAGATGGTGAAGTTCACTTTTTCCCTAGTGCACCCATTGATGTTGAAAATTCTCCGAGCGTTGTTGCCATTAATGTAAGCTCTTTCTCCTTGTGCATTATTTGTTCTTAACAAGGTATTTGAGAAAAAAGTATTTATCGTTTACTGTCCCCCATTTAACAGGTCAGTCCTATTGAATATGGCCATGTGCTGTTGATTCCTCGTATTTTTGAGCGTTTGCCACAAAGGATTGACCGGGAAAGCTTCTTGCTTGCACTTCACATGGCGGCTGAAGCTGGGAGTCCTTACTTTCGATTGGGTTACAACAGCTTGGGTGCATTTGCTACCATCAATCACCTTCACTTCCAGGTTTCTAACTGCATACTTTTCTAGCAAGCTGGCGTTAATTATTGGATTCAGCTTCTGATTTTTTCACTATTTATAGTTGTCACTCAAACAAATTTTCTTCCGTTTATAGGCTTACTACTTGGCCGTGACCTTTCCCATTGAGAAGGCTCCTACCAAGAAAATATCCACTCTGAATGCTGAGGTGAAGGTCTCTGAGCTTCTGAACTATCCTGTCAGAGGTCTTGTTTTTGAGGGTGGAAACACTCTGGAAGATTTGTCTTACACCGTCTCTGATGCCTGCATATGCCTTCAAGAAAACAACGTACCGTACAATGTCCTTATCTCTGATTGTGGAAAGCGAATCTTTCTCCTGCCACAGGTATATAGTCAATGAAACACAAATGCTTCGTAAGTAATATTTTTGTTGTGCATAGGCTGTTTCACTCACCTCCATGCATATCGTATGAAATGCAGTGTTATGCTGAGAAACAAGCTCTTGGAGAAGTGAGTGCAGAGGTTCTGGATACACAGGTGAATCCAGCGGTGTGGGAAATTAGTGGGCATATGGTCTTGAAGAGGAAAAAGGACTACGACGAGGCTTCAGATGAAAATGCTTGGAAGCTCCTGGCAGAGGTTTCCCTTTCTGAAGAGAGGTTCCAAGAAGTGAATGCTCTTATTTTCGAACGTATTGCTTCCGGTAATAATGGGAATGAAAATTTGCCGGAGGATCCAGAAGTTAAGCCTCGTTCTCATGAAGAAGTCGACGCTACCATTAACAAAAGCTCCCGCGCTGCTATGGTTGGTGAGACACAAGAATGCATTGTTCTGCAGTAAATGAGCAGATTGGTGGGTGTTTACAATGTGAATCTAGTATTGCAGTATTCGATTTGGGTTAATGTCTGTACCTTTTATTGGATGCTAGCCGATGCCTAAATAAGCAAAACTGGTTTTGCATAGTCAGCTGTTCATGGTTTGCAGTGTGTGTATTCTGCGTAACAACTTCGATCTATTTGTTTAGGGTGCCTTATGGATACGTAAAATCCCTTGTGGTTACTATTGTGGGTGAATAAATGTTATTTTCTGTGTATAAAGGTGTCATGTCAGTTGTGTTTTACCCCCTCCTGGTCCAAAGATTTTTCTGTGTGCATAAAACACAAGAATGTATATCACGTGTTATGAAATAAGTGAAGCAACGTTGAAAATATATTTTAAAATGGGCATATTGGTTATGACATTTACCTGTATTATAATTCGTGGTGTATTACTTTGATCCCTCGGTTTTATAATTGGTTGCGTGAAGGAAAATAAGAAGTTTCTACCCAAGTGTGATCTGATAACGACCCCATTAGTTAACGTGTTGATCTCAACTTGCTATTTTCGAATCATTTTGAGTCGGGTTAACATGTCGTGTAAGAAATTATAATTGGGAAAATTAGAATCCCCATCACTTTTCTAATCCTCTTTAGATTAAACATTGGTTCTAATACAAAATTTGATTAGGATGCCTAAACAATAGCTATGTCAACATTTTTATATTTATTTAGATTACAAGTCATTATTGTGTTTTTTTAATTTAATATATTAATTATTAAATTCCATATATATCCTTTTATGTAGATATATTTATGTACGTGCCTATTCTTTAGGAAGCCGGTTCTTCCACGTTTTTTTAATTCAATCCCATCTATGAAAGTCTCTTACTCGTGTTCTTTTTTTTTTTTCAAAATCAAAGCCTCCGAACAGAGAACCACATTTCTTAGTTGGCCTACTACATGTATCGATACTAGCCCAATGGCGTCGTCCATTTCTAGCTTTTAGTCTAATTTCTTTGTATAATCTCGTTTTGATAGGAGCTAATGACCGGTGAGTACAACTTTGCCCCTATGCAATTAACTTTATGCACCAAACGCCTTGAATGATCTAATTTAACATTATATCATGAACCAAACGATCATTATGAGTCAATGTAACATTAAGTAACGTACCAAACTCCTAGTACATTACAAACACAATATATAACGTTTTTTCAGACAAATCCGTTTCAAAAATAAAAAAACTTTACGTACCAAATGCCTGGAATGATCTAATTTAATATTATATCATGAACCAAACGATCAGTATGAGTCAGTGTAACATTAAGTAACGTACCAAACTCCTGTTACATTACAAACACATTGTATAACGTTTTTCCAGACAAATACGTTTCAAAAATTACTGAAACTTTACGTACCAAATGCCTGGAATGATCTTATTTAATATTATATCATGAACCAAACGATCATTATGAGTCAGTGTAAAATTAAGTAACGTACCAAACTCTTGGTAAATTACAAACACACACTGTATAACGTTTTTCCAGAAATATAAGTTTCAAAAATAAAAAAACTTTACGTACCAAACGTCTTGAATGATCTAATTTAACATTCTATCATGAACCAAACGATCAATATGAGTCGGTGTAACATTAAGTAATGTACCAAACTCTTGGTACATTACAAACACACACTGTATAACGTTTCCAGACAAATACGTTTCAAAAATAAAAACTTTACGTACCAAACTCTTGGTACATTACAAAGTTGCAGTCCAATAATGTACCAAATTAAAAATGTTAACTGGTGCATTACAAAGTTGCAGTCCAATATGAGTCAGCATAACATTAATAATGTACTAATCATAGCCTTGCTCAGGACCCTCAACTTCTTATACTAGCTACGTAGGTTGCGGTGTAACTCCTAGCAAGTTGGATGGATCTGAGATCCAACCGAAGCTCCACATGGGATTCTTAATTCAATTAATACTAAAACCATAATTAATAATTTGGCTAATACACAACATGCATCGACCCTAACATGTGAATCATGTTTTTTAACTCGATAACAACTTCAGCTATACCTAGATTAATCAAGTTTTCATCTTTTATTTTTTTCGTTTAATCAAAACCTTCGACTTTGAAAGACAATCAAAATCAATGCACCCAACTGATAATTGAATAAAAATCAGTAACTGGAACCTGAATACCAACGTCGACCTCGGTACGAAAAGAAGGCTTTTGAAACTTATGGTATGTCATAGGAAGGAAGTGCCGTTGGAAAATAAAATTCACTAGAAAAATAACATTATAATATCCTTAAATTCAAATCCTTCTGATAGTCAACAAGTATTCTACTCGGATTAAAACTCTGAGACATAGTTAGCAAGAATCTAGGAAACTTGCTTGCATTTTGGGGTGAAGAAACTGGATACGGCAAAGAGATATGTTAAAGGCTATGGCAAAATATGTAATTTAGGTATGTTACAATGGGTTAATTAAAATACACATGACACCAAAATTGTAGGAGAATGTTTAATCAAATTGTTAAATTGAACAGATGTTTAATCTAAGAAGCCTAAAAATGAGGGGTCTATATCAAAACGCCCCGATTTGATCGCTATCCAAAAGAGCTGCCCACAACTAAATCTAAATGCATAGGTTGCACACAAAAATAGGTGGCGCCGACTCTAGCATGGGGTTTTCAATCCTACTAAAAGTCGGTGGTGCCAACTCTATCTTCGGTTGGGTCGGTTGCCAATTTCCCCTTTCTTCTTTTGTCTCTTCTTTTCCCCTTCTCTAGTGCTTTTTCCTCTGCTCCACATCTCGATCTGCCTTCCTCTTTTTACTTTACTGGCATCCCTTCCTATCGTTCATCTGAGCTTCGACCTTTAGTCATACTTCCCATCGAGATGGTGCGTAGAGCTTCGGTTTCTTTACTTTGTGGATGTGCACAGAGAGCTATTTAGGGTTGGATGATGAGTTTGGCGAGGCGATGTTTGGTGATGGGCATAGATTTGCGTTGGTCAAGATGCACTATGTCGGCGGAGGCGGTAGCAACGGGTTTCTCGGCTTTATGTTTTTTCTGTCTTTAGGCTTTAGCTGTTTGGTTGGGCTCTTATTGGTTTGTTTGGTTGGTCCTTTTTTTGCTTGTTTTTGTTTCTCTTATGGACCTTTAGTACGTAAATCTATTTCTTCATAATTAAGAATAATTTCCTTGACAAAAACAAAGCCCATAAATTATACCATATCAAAAGTACCGTTTTCTGTTTCCGAAAAAAAAAGTACCGTTTTCTACTTATCTAAACTATTTAGGAGATTTGAATTCGAGTGTCGGGGAAGCACTTAACTAACGTGGCTGTGCCTAACAAGTTATTTGTCTAGTATTGGTAAAATTAGTATAGGAGGACTATGTAAGTGTGAGAACTTACGTTCGATTTTCATAAATAACAAGTTCAATACTAATTTATTATAACTAACTCATTGTGTGGTTTAGTTCAAATTTTCCACTTCTATTGCAAATATATAGTTGTGTCAAAAGTATTAGGGAAATACCAAGAAGTAGGACTTTTCCTTAATCTTGGGACAGAAATAGGACATTTTGAATATGCACATGCCATGCACAACAATTGGACATAAATATGACTTTTCTACACCTTGAAGACTTAATTACGCTCATATATAAATTGGTTATTTCCTCCAATTTTCTGATTTCTCTCTCTCTCTCTCTCTACTCTCTCTCTACTCTCTCTCTCCCTTATTCTCTCTTCTCTCACTTTCTCCCTCATGCATTCTCTCTCCCTTTGTCACTGTGCACACACGGTGCATAGTCATCCCGACCAACACCGTCCAAATCGAAGCCATCACCAATTTCATCTCGTCCTCACGAGTCCAAAACACCTAGCCTTATCACGAATCTCATCCCTGATAGTTGGGATTAAAACTCAAGCAGGTTGCGAGTTTTCCGGCCATTTTCTGGCAACACGGCAAACGATTGAGGCTCGAGATCACCACCACTGGACTCACATCGAGGGTGGAACAAAGCCCAGACATTAAATGCTAGTGTTTTATTTGATGAATTTTTCAAGACTTGCTCACTGTATGTACACGACATGCACATGATATGCTCACAGATCTGAGCCAACCCAAAAACCCAGAGCTCACAACTCTCTCTTTGAAATCAGAAAAATAATGCCATCACCTGTTCATATACACTATATGCACATCATATGTACAGTACATGTGTAGAACTAGAGATCAAGCAACGAGCTGCTTTTCACATTAATAAGAAACTTTAACGGCAACCTATTGGTATAGTGGATACAATCAAGGTATAAAATATCGATGATATCAGAAATATCGGTAATCCAAAAACACAGAAATTTCGATGGAAATATTGGGATATTATCGATATCGATAAAAATTGAATAAAAACCACGGAAATTGTAAGAAAAGCTTGGAAATTTTTATTGAAACTTTGCAGGATGTTTATTTAGTCAATTATCTATTAGTTTATCACAAAAAATTGGAAGGAAATGCATTGCATGATAAATATAACTGATTTAAGTTGATTATAAAGTGAGCTGGCAAACATTATGAGTATAGAAAATATGTAGTAATTAATGAAAGAAGTTTAAACACACCATAATCATTTATATATAATGAATTAGTACAATATTTTACACTTTATACATTGCATGGTAAGATACATGAGTGACTTAGCAAGGTCTAAAATATCGGAAATATCGGTAGTCCAAAAACACGGAAATTTCGATGGAAATATCGGGATATTATGGATATTTTAGACCATGGATACAATTAAACATTAATTGTTACATATATAAGGTTACAATGGTAGTTTGAAAAGTCGTGTTATGTATATCAATCACCGCTTAACCGTGCACATGAAAAACATGATACTCGTTGTCGTTATTTCATGGACACGCATGGTCTTTAACATCCTATAAGCTTTTTCTTAATTTATTTTTTCGCTGAGGCCAACTAGGTTGTGGTCATACTCGCTTATTTCCAGGGTACAACATACGTGCATCATAACTAGTGAACATTCTCGCATCTCTTTGTTCGAAATCAGAGGTATGAGGTCAAGCCAAAACCCAACTCACTCTTTTCACCTCTCTTTGGACTTCCCTCTCTTTGAAATCGGAGCTCAAAGATATGAGCTCAACCCAGAAACCCAGAGCTCACAGAGTTCTCTTGACATCCCTCTCTTCCAAATGAGAAAATGATGCAATGGGCTTCTGATTTTTAGTATTTATAAATTATATGTGAGTATTTTAGTGATTTCGGTTTTGTGCATGGTGTGCATGACTTGTTCATGACCGATTTGTCCTATTTCTGTCCCAAGATTAAGAAATTGTCCTATTTTGGGGTACTTCCCAAATTATTATGAGAGATGAAAGAAAAATGATTCAAGGTCATTCTAATAAAAGGGTAAACTTGTAAAAACACATCATTGAGATTGGAGATTTAAGTACAATACATCCATATACTATTACAATCACTTGTTAACGTTCATATATAATGACAGAGACATCAAGGACCATATTTGACCATCAATATGTAATTACATTTAAGTAGTTCAATGTAACATAATTGTTACATATATAAGGTTACAATGGCAATTCGAAAAGTCTTGTTATGTATATCAATCACTGCTTAACCGTGCACGTGGAAAACATGATACTCGTTGTCGTTATTTAATGGATACGCATGATCCTTAACATCCTCTAAGCTTTTTCTTAATTTAGTTTTTTGCTGAGGCCAACTAGGTTGTGGTCATACTCGCTTATTTCCGGGGCACAACATACGTGTATCATAACTAGTGAACATTCCCGCTTTTCATATTAAGATGTAGCCATGCACACCATATGCACATTACGGAAAAATTTTCACAAATTTATGCAATTTAACACTTGAACTAGAAATGGTTCCATCCTAGTTTTGTAAAACGTCAAAACCTAAAATTTATTCCACAATCCATAGGCCCCAACATGAAACACAAACCCTAATTTAACTTCTAAGTATTAATTCATCTTACAAACAAAAATCATTGATGAAGGAACTTGGAACTAAACACCCTACCTTACTATGCATGTCGAAGCTTCAGTCACTGGAAAAAATGGAACTTTCTGGCCAAAACAGAAAATATAGTACAAAACACAGCTCCACTTATCTCACCTCTCTTCGCATCTCTTTGTTCGAAATCACAAGTATGAGGTCAACCCAAAATCAACTCACTCTTCTCACCTCTCTTTGGACTTCTCTCTCTTTGAAATCGAAGCTCAGAGATCAAACCTCAACCCAGAAACCCATAGCTCACAGAGCTCTCTCGACATCCCTCTCTTCCAAATAAGAAAATGATGCAATGGGCTTCTGATTTTTAGTATTTATATGTGAGTATTTATTAAATTTGGTTTTGTGCATAGTGTGCATGGCTTGTACATGACCGATTTGTCATATTTCTGTCTCAAGATTAAAAAATTGTCCGATTTTCGGGTATTTCCCAAAGTATTATGAGAAGGTCGTAAAAAAAAAAGGTCGTACCCAGTGCACAAGGCTCCCGCTTTAAGCAGGGTCTGGGAGAGGTGAATGTCGGCTAGCCTTACCCCCATTTATGGAGAGGCTGCTCCCAAAGTATTATGAGAGATTGAAAAAAAATGATTCTACGTCATTCTAACAAAAAGGTAAACTAGTAAAAAATATCATTGAAAGCTGAGCATAAATAAGTAGCACTCGAAATTGGAGATTAAGTACAATACATCCATATACTATTACAATCACTTATTTACATTCATATATAATGACAGAGACATCGACCGTCAATAAATAATTATATTAAGGCCTTGTTTGGCAGCTCGAACTGTACTGACTATTTCTATCGGATAAGATAAATAACCACCAGATAGTACTGACTAAATTAGTTGGGCGTTTAGTGCAGTATCAGACTAATGATGTATTATTTATACTATGTTTAGTACTGTTCCAAATAAAGAGTTCGAACTATTATTAATTTTATTAATGAGAAAAAAGACCAAAAAAGAACAAATTTGTGATGATATATTCTGCCTTCAAACCATTATACCTTGTCAACTTTTTTCCCCACTTTTTCCAAATTTGCCCTCACTTTTCAATACACAATATTGACATGAGGAGGACAAAATAGTAATATTGTATCTTTTAAGAAAATGACAATCATATTCCTATTTTTCCTATTTTACCTTCACTTTTGATACATAATAATATTTACATAAAGAGGGGAAAATGGTAATTATGTAATATTAAGAAAAATATGCCCTTATTAAGAGATCCTATCATCATTGTCTCATACTATTTTTAAATTTTTTAAAAACTAATCACTCCTTAATCAAAACCAAAAAAGAAAATGAAATTGTTCACAGTGTTTTCATCTTCTAGTCTTCTTTTAAACTTTCTATTAATATGTTTTAAAAATTTTAAGAACAGAAAAAAAAAAAAAATCAGCGCCCTTGTCCCTTCATCCCACACACTAACAAACGCCATCGCCACACCACCCTCATTCAATTCCGGTGACAAACACCATACCCACCCCAATCTCAGTCAATTTGTGAACACCTCAATTGTTGAACATGGCTTCTCGCCACCGCATCTTCCCCAACCCAGTAAACCGAACAAAGTTGCTCACAATTTTGCATTTCCAAATTGAAAAAAGCCCTAAACACAAAATGCTGGGTAAGTATGTAAAACCCTTTTATGGAGGATGAAGTCTATAAAACCCTTTTCTGGAGGACGAAACGAAGCCGATGCAGTGACAGAGAACCTGCTCCATCATCACGTTCACCATCCTCCTCAGATCTACAATTAGGGCATCAGTTCGTTGGTGATACGGTCATCGGCGAGGCATTGTCTGGTCTTTAGCAATGCCTTGTGGTTCACTAAGGACACAACGTCGAGAGTTGGTGGTGGGTGCGGTGGATTGAGGGGACGGAGAAAGTGAGCAATTTCCTAGCCGACTAAATAATATTGAGGTTTTAGAGTGTATTAGTTATGCGTAATCCTATTCTTATCATCATCTTAGGTGGCAGATGAGTTAGACAAGTTACATCATTTAATTTCAATCTTTTTATTAATTAGAACACTTAAATAATCTTAGGTGGAAGAATGAGACTCCTTGTATACCACAATCATCATTTAATTAACAATCTTTTTATTAATTATTGATAAACATTTTGAAATTAAATGCTAATTAATTTAGATGATGTGACTGTCCACGCCATCTAAAGTGGTATACAATTGTGGTACAAAAATATAGTAAGAATAACATTATTGATTACTTATACAACGTGAGCCGTATATAATAAGTGGGGCAGAGTAATTAATCCGGAGTCTGTCTAGTATGAAACTGCACCAAACAATCGGATTTGTTTAATTATTCTTATCTGGTCCTATATACAATGTGCCAAACGAGACCTAAGTGTTTCAATGTACTATAGCGAGCATCGAAAATTGGGAGCAAGCATCAAAATTGTAAGGTGGAGGCCCAAATCTAATTGTAAGCCCGCGTTGGCAAGGCCGTCGGACACATTTTATTACACTCTGTTTTGACGACCAAGCAACAAGAAGGGCGTCGGAGCGGCTGATTTTGTATCAAACCTGACGATTGTATTTGGAAGCTCTCATTCTGTCGTCGGCTTTGCTTTAATCTCTGTAAGTACTGGTAGTATTCCACTTCACACGCCATTAGATTTCCCATCCCTTTTATATTTTTACTTATATTTTCGAATCCTCTGTTTTTACTGGTGACACAGTCACTTATGGTTTAGGGTTTAGGGTTTAGGGTTTAGCTAACGTGACTATGAGCATCGAAGGAAACAGTGTCAATGCACACCAACTGTTTGATGAAATGCATATAAGTAAAACTTGGTGCTTTATAATATTCAAAGGGAACCAGTCAAAGTAATAAAATTTGGGGCTTAAAGTGAAGATGAACACCAACTGTTTGATGAAATGCTTCTACCAACCGTTTGATACACTGAAAAATGCTCTGTGTTTTTGAGTTGTGATAGTTATTTTGTTTCTCAATTTCGTTTGATTTTTGATAGATTTGGGTGTGAATTTGTGAAAGGTGATGTTTTGATAACTGAGAAGTGATACTTTGAAACTGCAGATTATCGGAGGAGATGAAGAAAGGGATGCACCCTCAGATGCAATGGATATCTTACGTGACACAGAGTGGGAGATTGATGCAGGTTATGATGCCAAAGATCCACCACGCTGGTAAAGTCTACCACTTGAAGGCGAAACGCCAAATGGCTGAGCATATGAGCCAGATGGCCAAGTTTAGGCAGCGTTACGAGAAGCAGATTGCTCCGAGAGATAAACCGTGATTGCTAAGTCAACGTGCCTATGGATTGAAAAGGTTTGGATTCTTTGACAACTTTGTTTCGGAATAAAGATGAACTTGCTTTGTGAGATTTTAAGCACTTGTGCCTTGCCACTCTATGTTTTGTTTAACTTGGAGAAAAGTTTAAGTTTCTGTTTAAGTCAAAGGGAAAAGTTGATAAAGTCTTTCATGCTAATCACTGTTGATATTCTATCAGAAGTAGAATTAATCTGGATTTGGAGTTAGAGTTGTTCCTTTTCTTCGCTATTTATGCAATTCTAATTCAACGTTATCCTCGGTATAGGTTTTACCGCTCATGTTATATGCTGTATAGGCATCTAAATGGTTTTGCATCATGGTGGTCTTATTCTCTCATTCACCCGAATGATTTGGTTTTGATCCGTTTGCTCTGATTCATCGTGGCAATTGGGCATGGAGCCTTGGAAGTTGGAACTTTCTAGTTTGTGTAGGTTTGGTGTTTACAAACGATATTTTTGATACCTGTGCAAACGACTTTTGTAATGTTTGTGGCAATGAAGGGAGGGTTGCGCCCGACTCAGATTTGCGTTCCAAGTAAAGCTTGCGGCAGAACTAAATTACAAGCATCGCACTGGATGTGCAATCTACAATGCTACCTGGTAAAAAACAAGGTTCGAAGGCACTAGTCAGTGGCGGATAGGGGTCTAGCAAGGATTTGTGACCCTGAGTTATTTTCTTAAAAAATATAAGCAAAAGAAAAAAAATCACAGAACCACCCAGCCCTCCGAGATGGAATACGTTTTGTCGAATTCTTTCATTTATGCTGCAGTAATAGATGGGAATTTTTTGTCCCTTACAAAACAGGTAGCATTTACAATATTATCTATTAAAATTGCTACTCAACGTAGTTTACATGGCAAGTAAACTTGTAGGTCTGTCTTACAAATATATGGCGCACTCTGAGTAGAAGGTCGTACCACACCAGTATCAATCAGTTTTAGGACCGTCCTACAAAATTCTTGCGATCTGATTTGCACAATTTGATGATAGCCATATGAGACTGAGAGGACAATTTCTCGATCCTCTAGGGTTTCTCTGAAAAAAAAAATCATCATTAAATTCTCCTTCGATTGTCCACCCGTGTTTTCTTGGATGCACGCTCATCTTGCAGATGCTCACTACTTGACTGAACCTGGTAGAGGAGAAAATGCATTACATTTTACAAAACCCAGAACAAAGGTCGAAGAAAAAACACATGCAATTGATGTTATCACCTTATTGAGCTTCTCCCTCACCATCTTGACGGTCTGATTCATAGATTGGGAAGGAAAATACTCCTTCAATGAATTACAGCGGATCAAATGTCAGTTTAACCAGTTAACACAACAAAAGTAGCATAAGATTAAGGTCTCGTTTGGCATCTACGATTGTATTGGAATGGATAACCCTTTATATTCAAGATATGTTGAGTGGAGAAATGAAAAAAATTGTGTCTGACTTGAAGGTAGAATATGAAATGACTCATTAAGGAAACTTATCCCGACCAATCTGCCCAAAAATGGTAGGTATAGAAGGGATAAGTTTCCTTCACGTTTAATCCCCACGAAAAGAAAAATTATTCACCTCTACCTTCAATATACTGTGAACATAGTGGGTTATTTATTCCAATCCAATCTAGACACCAAACGAGGCCTAAAGGTAATCATTTGAAAATAATAACAAACCTGATCAGAGGAAACTCTTGAAAGAGGAGGGTTAGTAACGTGTGAAGCAAGTTGTGATTCTCCAGAGTCCCTAACCAGAAAAAGAAAGGCAATTCAGAACACCAAGGTTCAAATGCGTTTTGTGTCCGTGACAAGAAGAGCAATTTTCCAATTCAAAGTTCGCAATACCTTTGACTTGAGTTTACATGCTGGGGAAAGCAATCAATCTGAGTGGGAATTGCACGCAAAGAAGGGTCAGTCGAAGCACCGGACTTATTGACTGTAGACCCCTTAGATCTTCTGGCTGAAATCATAAATAAATATATCATGTTTCTGGGAGATATGATAAGTTTAAATCAATTGGTCACATGACTACAAAAGAACATACGGTTCAATCGTCCTAGAACTTCTCTTGTCCTGCTTTCCAGCTTATCCTTTGTATCAGAAAGGGTCTCAAATTCAGGAGCATATGATACATTAAGTCGATTCCCGAGGAAAGCATACTCATCCAATTTTCTCTTTGCAAACCTAAAATGTTAAAACCAATAGGGTTTGGTACTTAGATGTTAGATCTATGTTTAACTATTATCAACAAGTTATCATCTGACATAATCACCTGGCATTGGTGACCAGTCGAAATTTTATCCAATAAACGTCGGTGAATTGATCACAATCTGCTTCATCCATTGGTTTACACCTGAATATGGAAAACAACCAAAGTTACAAGGATTTGAAGGACAACAGTCTACACTTTACAGTTGGATTATCAAAGACTTAAAACTTGTACAAGAGAAAGGATAGTAAAATACTCCTCTACTTCTCCGTAGGATGCAAACAATTTCAACAGATCATTGCCGCAACCCAAAGATGGAACGTTCCTCACAATCAAATACCTGCCACAAAATATATGCATAAACAAAACACTGAAAACAAGTTTCTACTTTCTGGAAACATACATAAGCACCATGGAGAGACCTTGATTCGTCACAAACTGTGTAAACGCGAACCGCTGGAGGTTCATCTTTGTATCGAGGCATTATGTCCACCAAAATCCGAAGGGGAGTAACTACCAGTTACTTGCGTCAATGAATTAAAGGTTCTGAGACTGCAATTAAAAGTGGCTCTGCATGTTATTACTGGTTCTGCTCCTCAAACATATTTTCTGGGTGCCAAAAACAGGCAAAAATAATTGCTGTACTACTTTCACTAATAAAACAGACACAAATGCACACATACATGCAACACAACCACAAATACAAACATATCTACGCCAATGTCAGAAGCCAAACATGCCAACTTTTTCTGTCAGCCAATTATGCCTTATTTTACAATTAGGTGGTCAAGAATCCCTTCGTCTCTCTAAAACTAAAAGTTACTAGTTTTTCTAGCATGATGCAACAACTCTCAAGGCCCAAAGTGAAAAGAGAGCCGCCGCATCTTGCCAACTCATTTTGAATAGAAAATTAAGCATGGTAAAAAATGGAAACAGATAAAGTACCATCTGTTCATTCTCTCAATCCAACTTGATCAAATATTATTATCCAACACGTAAAAGGTCTTTCTGCTGTGTAGAAATCAAGTAAAAATTCACCTTACTAAAATGTCTAGTGGAAAAAAATTGAGATTGACAGAGTAACATAGACAAAAGCCTTTCATAATCCTATATTTCATGAGTTCGGGCTGATTAACCAAAGTCCAGCCACAGCTGACTGTGAAGAAGGTGACGCAGGAATCCAGAAAATCAGGTGTAGCTTTTGTTACTTGCAGCTCAAACGACTATCCTAATTCATTATTCTGCCGGAAAAATCCAAGTTACCTTCTGACAGCAATGGTTTATCTTCAAAACATGACTCAAATAATTTCAACATGGTTTCGAGTAAATTCCTAACCATGAAGAGTAGATATAATACTGACCAAAACAAACCCCACTCATCAAACATTGCAACAGCATTTCAGTTTTGATTTCATACATACAATCCAGAGCATTCAAAGAAAAACACAACACGAAAGCAGCCAGATTCCAAGTTCGAGATTTCCATACCTCAAACCGAAGGTGGCGTGGCGTCTGTTACTCCAAAACTTGATCCTTGATAAATTGAACTTCCTTGTTCGATCTAACAATCGAAAAAATAGGTATATTAAGCATCCTGTCATCTAAATGTAACGCCCCTATACGCTATACCCACATACACACATACCAAAACACACCACGTTCAGATTTGCATCATATCCTTGTTTCTAACTCGATGGGGAATTTTCACAAACACCCAAACTCTTATAACTCCACAGAACCAATTTTAACAGAAAAATTCTTAATTTATTTTTTCTGGCAATTAAGAAAGTTATAAAACCAAATTAACTTTGCTAATATGAAATTCTAAACATCAATCCAAAGCCTCTTGAAACCAAATTAATGCATGCGACTAGAAATTCAGAAGATAAACTCACCTACTTTACTCTCTGATGCATTTGCACAATAGGGGAGGGAGGGAGGGAGAGAGGGAGGAGGGGGGCTTGTATGATAACGGCGTCAAGGACGAACGGTTTGATCCAATAATGGAAATGACAAGATTGCCCCTCACAAGTGAAACATGGACAAAACCCGCAGAGAGGCGCGCGCTGCGCCCGCTCTTCCAAACCTCAAAAGCTCCCTGCTCAGCTAGCTTTTACTCTCTGGGACTGCGACTGCGACTCCATGGATCACGACGGCGGCGGCGAGGCCTCTGCGATTCTTCGCCAGCTCGAAGACTTGAAGGCCAGTAAGAGCGAAATAGAGCGTCAAATCTCAGCCCTCGAAGCTCGGCTCCAAGAGATTACCCTTCCGCAGCCCAACGGCAGCGTTTCCAATGGCTCTTGTCCTCCCACTATCCCGTCCGTTGGTTCGGGCTACGGCCACGATTTGTCGCCTCAGATGATTTACCGCTACAGTCGCCACCTCTTGCTCCCTTCTTTCGGAGTCCAAGGTATAATTTTATGAGCCCGTGTCTGTGTGTATATGTTTATTTTATATGTATATGTATGTATGTATACATGTATGGCATGCATATGTTGCAAAGTTATAACCTTTATAAATTATACTTAATTAGGATTTAGAATTGTCCAAAAGAGCTCACTTCTTATAGTAATTTTTGTGGGTAATTTCTTTTTCATTTTTGGTAACACAAAGAACTTAATTCTATTTGGTATCTAGGATTGGATTGGAACGGATAATCCGTTATATATGTATTTTAAAGGTGGATTAAGGGTAGCGGTGAATGACTTTACATTTTGTAGGATTTAATGGGGGTTAGACACGAAGGAAACTTATCCATTGGAATTCTACCATTTTGGGGGATTGGAATGGACAAGTTTACTTAATGAGTAATCCGTCTTCTACGTTCAAGTTGGATACAAATTTTTTATTTTTTCAGTCAACATACCTGTTGAATTAGTGGGTTATGTGATCCTATCCAATCCTAGGCACCAAATGAGGCTTGTTGTGAAAAAAATAAAAGTTGAGGCATTGAGGTGAAAGAATGATTTTTGAGCCTTGTAATTCATATAACATCTATGTAAACGATGAGATGATTTTTGCATCTTTTTTAATGGCTGAGATTTTCTAATTGGACTTTATATCCTGATTGAATCAGGGCAGTCAAAGCTCTTAAAGTCATCGATTTTGGTGGTCGGAGCCGGAGGATTAGGCTCGCCTGTTCTGCTGTATCTTGCAGCCTCTGGTGTTGGTAATGTTTCCGGCTAATTGGGATTTTAACAATGCCTACTATAGATATTGTCTTTATGATGATTTGATACCATGAAACTGAAATTGAACTCTTCTGCTTTTTGGGAACTGAATCTTTAGGCCGATTGGGGGTGGTTGATCATGATGTGGTTGAGCTCAATAATATGCACAGACAGGTACAAGTTGGAAATCATGTTCCTACTCCTGTTCTTCATATTGTTGAATTTATGTCATGTATTTAATGGTAATAAGATACCAATGCTAACTGGTAAAGCTCAGTTAATTTACTATTGTGATGCAGACTTAGTGCGCTTTGTTAAGCGGAGTTTGTGTGTGCGCAAATGTATGTGGATATTTTTTCGCTTTATATTAATCGAATTTTTACTGTTTCCTTTCCTATTTCAGATTATCCACACTGAAAGTTTTATTGGTCAGCCAAAAGTGAAATCTGCTGCAGCTGCTTGTCATTCGTATGTCTCTCTTTTGGGAATATTTTTCAGTGTTTAAAAGAATGACCTTTATTGGAGTAGTATTGCAAATGATATACCGGCCTTTGCTTTCTATCAAATTCTGTTTGAGGGCTTCTATTAACACTCAGAATATACAATACACCAGCACTAAGTTTTTTTTTCAACGAACTTCCAAATTTACCCTTGTCTGTTGAGTAAACCCAGCAAAATCCTGTCGCCACCCCTCTGAGAGCTAGAGAGGGAGAGGAGGGACTATTTAATGGTTGATTTGGAGGTAGGTGGCTGTGGACAGGGGCGTATCTAATCTGTCCCAGAAGGGTATGCAAAGTTGATAAGAAAAACTGCCAAACCTCTGCATTTCTCTGAAAGTTTTTTTCAAACCAGGGTCCCACCCCCATCACCCACACCAAGATAACGAATGTAGCTCCGCCACTGGCTGTGAGGATGGGGAAGGAAGGGGTGTCATTTGGTGGAGGGTTCGGGGGTTGGGGAAGGGACGCTGCATGGGGGATCTAGCTTACTTTTTCAATGTTTTTTCAATACAGGGCAGGTCAACACAGTCAATTGCTGGGTTCTAACTTCTAATAGACAAACTCCTGTTTTTTATTTGGTTGAAAAAACTCCTGTTTACTATAGTTATTTCGCGTCATTCTAACATGGATTCATGTCCCAGGATTAACTCCACTATTCAGATTGTGGAGTACCAAGAACCACTACGTACATCCAATGCTTTGGAAATTATGAGCAAGTATCCTTGAAGATTTTCAATTTTTTAATATCTTTTGTTCCTTTATTGTAATTCAGAGATACACTTTTACAATCTTATATATTTATTATTGGTCCCGAATTGCTGAAATATAGTGTCATCCTTAACTCATCTCTAAGATTTGATATAATAGTAGATGCAACGGACAATGCTCCTAGTCGTTACATGATTAACGATTGTTGTGTGGTGTTAGGGAAGGTAAATTGGCTCCTTGTGATGATGTTACGAAGGCACTCTGTGTTACCTTTTTTATTTACCAGCTCATGGTTTTCATATATGCAACATGTATATACATATATTGTATGGATATGTAGGTTGTTCTTGTATTGTTTTAACTTTCCATTTACTCATTTATTCAATTTTCTCCACTAAGTACTAATGGGTGCTGATATACTCTTACAGCCTCTTGTATCTGGTGCTGCAGTGGGATTAGAAGGGCAGGTATGTTGTGTAGAAATCTTATTTGGTTCATTTGTAATATATGATTTTGTATAATGAGGTAGTATAAATTGTCATTTGCAGTATTTTATCATGTTAAAGTTTCCAAGTATTTACTCCAAATATATTTGTGCAGCTCACGGTTTTCAATTATAATGGTGGTCCATGCTATCGATGCCTATTTCCAACTCCGCCACCTACAACCGCATGTCAAAGATGTTCTGACGCTGGTGTCCTAGGAGTTGGTATGTCAATAAATTGTTTTTATTAAAAAATCATGGAATATAAAGTTCTGGAAAACTACCTATTAACAATCCCAGTCTGCTGCTGTACAAGGTGAAATGTTCTACAAAGAGAAGTAGTTTGATGACTTGTATAGTGGTTAGGAGGAAAATTTGGTAATCAGGAGTTTAATCATCATTAATTTCTCGTTTGATTTAAAATATCTCACTTAGTATTTTCATTCCTTGCTTGAGAAACCAAGTCCCTGTTTCTTACTACTCAATTATTTCAGTTCCAGGTGTCATTGGCTGTCTCCAAGCCCTAGAAGCTATTAAGATTGCAAGTGCAGTTGGAGAACCACTCTCAGAACGCATGCTTTTATTTGATGCATTGTCAGGACGGATACGTAATGTATGCTTCATCTTAGTATCACTGAAATCCAGTAGACTTTAATTTGCTTTGATTTTATGAATGCATTAGTCTTAGAACAAGAATTGTTGAAGCCATATGGCTTTGCATGTACGTAATCAATGTCACCTCAGTATGCTAGTTATTTAGGCTTTTGGTCGAGTTGACCCCCTACACAATGACCATTCGTCCTTCCCTTCCCCTAAACACCTCTCCATTCTTTGGATATTGGATTACATGTTCGATTTCAGGTCGATTGTGCCTAACTTTTAATAAGGAGTTAGTTACCATCCTACTACGTGGATTTGCTTTTTTGAAATCTGGATTTGTTTTCTTTTAGAACTGAAAATGAATAATTAGCTTCACAGTTGACGTTTCACGTTTATCAGATACGGCTTATTTGTCTGTTGGTGTGCATTTTAGAAATTTTCTTTGTATTCCAGGTTAAGATTCGAGGAAGGTCACCGCAGTGCGTAGTGTGCGGTGTGAAAGCACCATTCTCTAAGCAGCAATTTCAAGAATTTGATTATGAAAACTTCACTCATTCTCCACTGACTCCGGTAAAAATTTGTCTCACAATTTGTCTCTATTAAAGTATTTGATTTTAAATGTATGATTGGATTGAGAACTGGTATTAACAATCACGCTATTTATTCAATACAGTTACCTTTGAAGTTGAACTTACTTCAGCCAGACTCCAGAATAAACAGTAAAGAGTACAAGGAGAAACTAGTTAGTGGCGAGGCTCATGTTTTGGTCGATGTTCGTCCAGAACATCACTTCAAGATTGTTTCTCTGCCGAATTCCTTAAACATCCCACTCCCACGATTGGAGGCTCGGTTGCCGGAAATAACTTCAGCCTTAAAGGAAAAGGAAGACCAGAGGGGTACTGATTCTGGTTCAGGTGGGCATGTATATGTAATATGTAGAAGGGGTAACGATTCTCAAAGGGCTGTTCAGTATCTCCAGAAGATGGGTTTCACATCGGCCAAAGACATCATCGGAGGACTGGAGGGCTGGGCGCATGAGGTCGATCCAAACGTCCCTACTTATTAGTAGGAGTTGATTAGTTCTGGAACTTGTGTACTGTATACCCTTTTTTGGTCTTTCCGGTCTGAGTTTGCAGGTATACGTCTTGATATAGAGTATTTATTTTGGGTATTAGTGTTGCATTTTCATGTATGTACACACGAAGGGATAATTCGGATTAAGATTTTGGTCATGTTAATTTCCACTTAAACAAGCCATTTTACTCTTTCTTTATGTGCAATTGGGAATATTTTACTCTCTTCTTTTCAACTTATAATCTCAAGGCTATCTTCAACCGAAAGGTGAAAAATTCTAAAATTTAGTCCCGAATTTTCAACTCTTCATCTATAGTTTGGGTTAGTGAGTTTTTTTCTCCTACGGTACTGCACTTATAATTCTCACCCGCAACTTTATAATTTGTTAAACTTTTGTATATCTTTGATTTTTGCTAATAATTTTGAAATTAGTTTTTCTATAATCTATATTTTATTTTTATGAACACTTTTATTAAAAAACAATTCAAATTCCTAAAA